CTGACCGGGATTTGAACCCAGGACCTTCTTGCTGAGAGGCGAGAGTGCTATCCACTCAGCCACCGTGCCGCCGGCACGGTGAGTAAAATGCTCTAAACAAACCAGATCATAACATATCTTTATTTTATTAGTTATTTTGTAGGCAAGTAAGAAAGAGCCCTGTGGGTCACTTTTTGACTTGTTAGGGCTGAGAGCTGATTGGCTGATCTGTCTGAAAAAAAAAACTGATCTAAAGATGTGACAGAGGCCAATAATACACACATGAGAAAACAACAGAACCAAACATGCGAGCAACATGATTTACTGTACTGTATGACAGTCCCACTTTTGTGGTTTGACAGATCGGTATTGTGGAGAGCTGGAGCATGGCCTAATTTCATGTTCATTTCAAATCAATTCATTGTATTTCCAAATAGTATATACATACCTTCAGTCTTGTCTTGCTGACAAACTGCAGGTAAGGTTCATAAAGAATAGAAAATGGTGCTATCTAGTGGTTGTAATTTGAAAACACGGTGTTGAAATCTGTGGTTTTGTGATGTTACAATAGTTTAAGTTTGGGTGACCTACATTCCAAACCACAACACATTGAACTATGTGAATAAAATCCATATAATTAGTTCCTCACTCTGTGTGAGCAGCTTGACTGAAAATCTGTGTTATTGACTTAATATACAATAATAAACATTGTCATTCTAAGCCAAGATATCTCACTGCAAAAACGAGAAGACTAAATTTGAAAATAATTTCTTACTTTATTGATCTCACACTGGAGAAATGTACACGTCACATTTGGCATAGATAGAAGACAGAAGTGTGCAACATGGTAAAGGTTAATTATATAGTCTGTGATTTAATTATGTACGATAACATTCAGTCACTTTTCAATCACTATTTTTTATCTATTAACCATGTTAATATTCACACAAACACCAGACTCATTCTAGGAAATGTGGGTGTAGTGTCTTGCCAAAGGACACAACAACAGTTTGGCACTTTACAGCTGCCCCTCTCTGGCACCTGGGGTTCCCAGAGGTCTCCCATCACAGTACTAAGTATGGCAAGAGATGGGAACGATAAGTGCCAGAGTGGAGTGGCTGTTGTTGTTGTCTTTTTTTCAAATGAATTATTAATTGTACAATACAATAGAAAAGAAATACATATACAATTCAAAAGGAGCAGGTAGAAGTAAAACTCACTGTTCAATTCTAAAATGTGGATGCGTCCTAATGCAAATCTTTTCACCCACATTATGAGTCTGGGGTGAGTGTGTGAAGGAGGTGACTATGGCTCATGTGGTTGTCTCGCTTCTGTCAGTCTGTCTCTGTAATTTACCATCACTGTGTGTGGAGAGAAATAAAAGAGCCATGTAGTGTCTTTGAGTGTCAAAAAGAAAAATATAACTGAAGTAATGTTATTGTTGGATGTGCAGAGCAGTTTAGTGTTTTGAGAGACTTTGACAGTAGTATTATTTTTCAAAGCATTATTTACACTAAGAAAGTAGGGGAAATACTTTTGCAAATCACAATTTGGGGAAGTGAAAACGAGATTTGTATCTGTATGTTTTCACTTCTCATATGTCTGCCTTGTTGTGGCCTTTCATTAAAATCATGGTTATGATGTAATAACATGTGGAAAGGTTCATAGGGGAAGAACAATAGTCAAGCTTCTGTATGAACTGAAAACCTAAAACATGTGTTCGACATTTCACATAACTTTATGCATCATTTAAAAACATGAAAGAAATAAAACAATGAATGGCGAGTTCAGATCTATTATATATTTTTTATTATATTTTTCATCATTACAGCAATAATTAAATATAGCAGCTCAGGCCCAGTGTGAAAAGGTGTCAATGACTCGAGTGTGAGAAAGCACATTCAAACACAGCTCCAGCCCCGCCCCCCGCTCCTGCTCATTGGCTCCCATGAGTGTAAGTAGTATGGCTTTAGACTGTAGCTCAGCAGCTCTGGTTTCTACAGGTGCTTCTCAATAGGAGGTGGCAGCCATGACACATCTTCCAGGGGCCTGGCACAGGAAAACAAGCAGAAACAAACTGCTGCAAGAGACATGATACATCATCTTAGCACTACAAGCCCAGAAAACAAGTGACAAAGAAAAACAAAGGAAAAAGTTCAGTTCACATCATATCATAAAGGAAAGCATGCGTGCTTGTAGGAGATGAGGGTCTGGAGATGACTTTCAAACCAATGATCAAAGTACAAAAACTGAAATTCAGTCTATTTTATATTTATATATATATTTCTACCTGTGCTGAATGTTGACACAAAATATTTACCTGTGTTTGGTCAGATTCATCTACTAAAAGCACAGCTTACAAACAGAAAGAACATACTACAGCAATGGTTCTTGTGTTGCATGGATTTCAACTCTTCAAGAAGTGAGACCTTAGTGAGTAATATTCTCAGATGTATTTTTTTTAATAAACCACTAGTCTATTTTTATTTTCATATACATATTTTCTTCCATTACATTGATAGAATATTGTTGTGTAAATACATCTTTCTGTGTAACATGTTTTTATTCAATAGTACTGTGTGGTGATCTTAAACAGTATATGTATCTGCTTCAACATGCATCCCCCTGGGAGAAAAGTAAAGACAGGACGTGTTGTGATTGGTGGGGCCTGGGGTGTGGTCCAACAGACAGACCCAGGCAGGCCCTTACGCTCCGGAAAGGTAACCTGGCAAACTACAAGCTGCTGACAAAAAAGAAGAGCAACACTTGGCCTTTTCAGAAAGGGATCAGGAGTGTCAACCCAGTGCCCTTTGATGCAAGCATTTTTGTTCAGCCTTTAACGTTTTTTTTTGTTATCCTAGCAAAATTTCTTGTCATGATAGACAGAATTTTTTATTCAAAATAAGATCTCAATATACATGATTCTCTCTTTTTTGACTATGTACAGAAGTGCAAAAAAGTCACCCTTCATCACCTGTCTCCTGCAGAGTGCCGTTTGCATCAGCCCTTACAGGCTGCACTCAACAACCCCAAAAGTGATCAAATATGCAGCTTGTTTTCCAACATGGCCCAATTTCCAGGGAGAGTAAAAATATTGAAACAATAATTACTATCTGAAATGGATACAGTAGAAAATAACATTTTACTCTAAACATCTAAGAATTACATTTTTATAATATTTTTTCTTCCATATATGACTTGTTACAAACCTTACAATCATTAAAATATGACTCAGTTGGCAACTGTTGCCTCAGTGACAACAAAGCATCTTTGCTCTAGTATTCATCACTGTTAGATATTTATATAAAACATCTTTGTTCAAAGAACACAAAAGACTGAGAAATGAACAATATGCATAACATATAAAATACTGAGTCTACAATCATACTAAACTGAAGTACATGGAATTTCAGGAAACTGTGCATGAGAACACACGATACACACTACCTTATATTCATTGTAAGAGATAAATAGATAAGGCAAACACACAACTCCAAACAAAATATCCAAATAGAATTCAGATAAAACAAACAACAATTGAGAATTGGACAAAAGTGACATTACATAGTGCTCTGTTATTATGGCGTGGTTTAGGCCACTGGATGGTTCAAGATGGCATGTTGCATTGTGCTGACTTGATGGTACATTCTAAGGCTTTGGATGAGTTGTACAATCGTTGTTTGATTCTTGCCACATTCCCTGTACTATCCACTGATTGAGTATGCCTGAAGAACACCCAGAACACAAAACAAAGAGTCCTACAGACCTACACTAACCATATGCCACCACACCGTCTCCAAATCCACCATTATACCTACCAGTACATACATCTCTATTAACAGTGACACAAATAAGACTTTGGCTGACTATCGGAAACAGTTTTCAGGTTTAAAGAAATATTATTAAATATACACTAGATTGAATCTAGCTCATGTATTACCAAACAAGCAATAACTCACATAACTAGTTGCATTATGTCACAGCAGTTTGGACAAAACATCTTTCTCTCATGATAACTTTCATAATAGATATAAATGCAATATACTTTATCCAATCCACTCATCTTTCAAAAAAGTAAAACACAAGTTTGGAATAAATTTATAAAAAAGAGGGTAATTGAAACAAGCGGTTTCAGAAATCCAATTACCAATGGTGAGGATTTTATGACTGTATCTGTTGAAGAGGAAGTCTGAATTAAAGGGAAAAGTTGAGTTTAACACGTTGACCACTGTAATACTATTGGTTTGTTGGAGTTATATGGCACTGCACAGGGCGGACCTGTACGCTTAAAGACATGTCGGACACAGAGTGTAGGCTACAAAGGTTCAAAGACACTCCGTACACATTCAGTAACATAGTTCCTCTGAGTGCACTTCCCTTATTACTTGTTTTATAAGAAACTAAAGTCCTAAAAATTGCTATTATGCATGCATATGTGGTTCAGTCAGATAATTCAGTATTCCTATCTCCACTCAAATACAAGGTGCACCTTTGTGTAAACAAATGGACACATTTAGGTCAATGACCAATCAACAACTATGAGTGTCACACAAATTAAGATGATTCTTTGTCTATGAATGTAACAATCAGATCCTTCGCAGGACACCATACATGTACCTCTTAGTAACATTCAGAGTGTGTCTGGTGAATAAAGGTAAGAGCCTCCATAGAGGACAGTCCAAGATGTTAATGAAGTCTAATCGTTGTGTATCAAATACACATGAACAGTCCCAGAAAGCTCGGCTCCTATGGCGACATGCAGATTCAAACCACACGGACACCTGTTGACTTTAAGTGTTGTCTTTGTTACAGGCATTGAGTGTGCTGCTAATCTTCAACTCCACACCAGCACACTCCACTTCCATCTGGAAACATTGCACAAAGAAACGCATGCATGGATTATAACATTATGCATGTGTGATGTGTCCATTTGAAGTCATTTCATGCATTGCAACAAACAGTGATGAGTTTGTGAGTGCTTAAAGTGTGAAAGCAGCAAAGTACATACTGTTCAGATCCTCCTACATCTGGGTCACATACTTGTGACTAGTCAGATGGTCTGCAGATATTATTGGAATCTGATTTGGGAGGGAGAAGAAGGAAAAGGCAGAGGAGAAAAAAGAAATAATATGAATTAGGGAAACGAAGGTGTACTTTGATTAGGCACAGGCATTAGGTAAGGGCATAATATCAAAACTGAAAACTAATCAGGCCATTTTCTAACATAAAGTTCAGGAATGTCCAAAAGTGTAAAGGAAGAGGCCTGGGGCAGACCCTGCACATGCTGGAAAGAATGAGGTGTATTTCTCTATCCAGGTGCTAAACTATGTGGGCAAAGTAAATTAATGTGTGGAATTTGACTGGTTTAGCGTAATCTGCAGAAGCATCATATATCAGTGAAGTACGTCATCCTTATTTATATAGCGCAGTTCATGGACCAGGGTCACACAGAGCACTTTATATCTTGAAGGGCTCTCAATCTCAATATATTGGACAAAAGTGATATCCCTATGCCTCTCCGTGAACAGGGAAGTCTGGGAATCTCTGCTCAGACTTCTGCCTCTGTGACACTGCCCTGGATGAACATGGATAGATGGAATGTAAACTCTCTTTTGTGCATGTACTATCAGTGGTCATCTATCAGTGGTCATAATGTTTTGCCTGATCACCGTAAACCCAAAATGTGTCAAAATCATGCATTTCCCTGATGCAAAGCAAAACAACAACAACAAGAATAGTTGGGACAAAGACAAGGGACATAGAGAGAGGAGCAGACCTGATTGGCTGCAGCAGTTGCAAAGGGAACACTTGTGGCAGATGTGGTGGCTGCTGACACAGTGGCTGGAGAAGCACCGTGCATCAGGGGAACTTGGAGGAAAGACCACAGAGGAGACTTAAAGCTTTCAATGACCACACTTCATTTCTTGCCTGCCTATAGGACACTATAAACATGAGTTCATCTGGTGGGTAAATAGTGTATGGTGTAGGAAGATCTCCAAATCAGAGCTGTTGTAACCATTACCATGCCAATGTATTATTTATTGACTTTACAAATATACAACTTTATATGGAGTCAATGTTAGCATGTAAAGTACCTGCATTTGCTTTTGTTGATTATTTTCTGAGTAAATCTATAGCCTAAAGCAAAGTGGGGTCTGCGGCCCCCTGGTGGGCCGCGAGGGTATTGCAAGGGGGCCTCAAGAGGTCATCAAAAAAGAAAAAAAAATGTTTTATATAATTATTGTATGTTAATTTAAATTAATAATACTTTGGTTGCAATATTAAAATATTTGTGTTCATTATTTGACTTGAATAATCAAATTGTAATCATTTTTGTATTACAAAATAGGGAGCGTCATTTACATGTTTGTAGCAGAGGCTATTTCCCCCAAATAAAATAAGGAAAAGAGCCTACTATTTTTAACGTTGTCTTCTTGGTTATTATTTCGGGGGGCCGCGCAGACCCGTAAGATTTTTAAGGGGGCCGCGGCGTTACTGACTTTGGGAATGGCCTAAAGTATATACAGGGCTCACTAAATGTACACTACAGGGTACTAGTGACATTAAATGAGCAGGTTGTCTTTAAAAATATGTAATTTAAATATTCATTGTGACAGACCTAGCCTTGTGTCTTCTAGATCCGTATCTGATTAAGGTGATTTCAAAATCCTCATGTTTATAAGGGACACCAAGTCAGACAATGTAATGAGGTGCTCTTAAGGTTAGTGGCTCAAAGCAGGCATGTATGTAAATCTGCAACAAGCATGAGGTGACAGACGACGGAGGCAAGGTCACGCCGCCACAATAATAATGGCATTTGTCCTTGGCTGTTATAAGGTCTGGTGTTGCATGGAAATACGTATTAAGCTGAATGAACATGTGTAAGGATAGGAAAGCTGGCACCTACCAACACTTGTTGCAGGTGTCATGCACAATATCGAGCCTGCCCATCATGCATTGCAACAGGGAGTGAATTGGGAAGAGAAAAAAAGGGGGAAAACAAATTAGTCTCACCAACAAAACAAAATGCATTGAATACAAATGGGTGAGCTTTGATGCGTTTATTTTTTACTATCAATACAATCATTTAAGTTGTATAAAAAAAGATTATATCTGTAATTCCTTTTGACAATTTATTTTTTATTTTTTTAAACTGGTGTACACATGAATAATACTTTTTTGTCTCAACAGATTTTTTTTTTTCATTGTCAAAATCAACAAATCAGACCAAAACATGAATGATGTCTTCCTCTCATTATATACCTTTGAAATTTCCCCACTGTGGGACGAACAAAGGTTAATCTTATCTTATACCAGAGAGTTCTAAGGCACTTTTTTGACATTTTGGGCTGAGAGCTGATTGGCTGATTGGTGGTCCTCTCATTTTCACTTTTCTGTCTGAAAAAGCTGATTGAAAGCTGTGACTGAGGCCAAAAATGCATGCGTGTGAAAACCAAATTGAGAGTGTGAGGAACTACTTTTTGAGGTTGTAATGCTAAGTGTTATCTTAATTAAATAAATCAAAATTAAGTTCCCTGCCTGGGGGTTCTTTCTCTTCACCTCTAGTTCACAGTTTGACACTATTTCTTAATAAGTCAAAAACGCCTCAGACACCAGTGTATCTCCTTCTCCTGTGAGCTGCCACTCCTCAATGACCTGCTTTGAGAACCTTCAGTGTGAGTTGCTTTGACCTGACAGATGCGAGTGAGAGTATCACTTCTGTCACCGGAGGAATCGATGGCAGGCTATTCTTAGAGTCGCAGCAGAATATGGGCCACCGTGAAAGATGACTATGCAGCGGACACAAACTTCAAGTTCAAATTGTCCACAAACGTGAGGGAAAGGTGTGGCTTTTATGGTGTCACGGATGTATTTTTAAATTTACACATACAAGTATTTATTTATTTGCACAAGAATATACAAGTTTATACTTTTTATACTTTGTTTCTCTTACTGTATATAATAGTTCAGTGCCTCATGGTCAAATGTATATATTTTATGAATGAAATACAATATAAGTTGTGGACATCACCTTCAATGGATGGGAATTCACTCAAAAGGGGGCAATTTAAATACAAAATGAGAATTTACATGAAAACAGGTTTTCACTATAATAATAGATGTTCCTCAGAATGTATACAAGAATAAATTGTATTGTATTGTATTGTATGTATTGTATAAATCAAAGTAAAAAATATTTCTAAATATGTTTCTCAGATGTCAAGGTTGCAGTTCACAAACATTCCTACAGATGGCGCTAGACTACACCGTGAGCATTTAACTCTGCACAGTTAAAAGAAAAAAACAATGTGATTACTTTTATGCAAATGTTGAGGAGTTGATTGAAATAAAACCTAAGGCTGACTAATGACAAAGCTTTCCTGCTTTAAATGATTTATTTTGTGCATTGTCAAAAAAAAGTAGTCTCTGTACTGTGTGTAAAACCATAGTTCTTTAGGCTAAAATAAAAATGCGTGACTTCACACAGCATGCGGTGTCGTTAGGTTTCAAACGTTACTAAATGAAATGGTATAAAATTTAACATTGGTGGAGGCACAGGTCGGCCGTCTGTGGAGAGTTCTGCTGTAACTGACAGACATAATTACAACATCTGTAATAACATCTGTCCTGGATTTATGCACATCTGACAGAAAGTGGTTGTTTTTTTCTGTCAGGGAACATAGACAAACATGTTTTTCATCACAACTTTTGAAAATAGTGCATAGTTGAACATAAGTTATAAAAAAAAGTGTTGTTATGTTTGTGGATAAGGTAAGATAGTAAAAAACTTTATCGTGCACTCCTTCTGCAATTACAATACCATCACTTCTAAAGCAAGACCATTTTTTGTGGCCCCTGAAATTATTTATTGTGGAAACTTACAACATTGATGGTATTTGGCCCAGTTGTGGTTGAACCTAAAACTATTAGAAAATTATGTCCAAACAACAAAAACACTTTAATACTTTTGGCCCCAACCAGCTGTTTTTAATTTGAGTTTTACACCTCTGTTCTAAACTGAGCAGAACTTATGGACAAACACAGAGAAGGGTCCAGGCACATGCAGTGGGACATGGACAGGGAGGCGGTCCACACCTGATGGGATGAATGCTGCCTGCTGCTGGAACTGCATGTTGGCCAGGGCCTGTTGATACTGGAACACACCAGCGTTGAACATAGTGGTGGCACCATTGGCTTTTTCAAGTGCAGGTCTCTTTGGTAAAGGAGGCAAAACAGGAGGGAGCCCCTGAGGAGGGGAGGGCAGCAATGGGACGAGGTGGAAGATCAGGGCAGCGAGAGGAGAGAAGAAATTCATTAGATTTTGATTCACCTGATTATAGCCATCAGCAGAGACAATAACAAGCAAGCAGTGGCTGCACTCTGGACATCTCAATAGCTCGACAGTAAACACAGTAACATTAAACAGGTGCTAAATTTCCTACGCAAAGACTGTGCTGCGGCTAATTATAAACTAAATGTATAATGTAGTATTGGTGAGGCAAAATGAGGTAGAAAGGGTATAAGCTGCAATGTGAGTTTTTATTTTTTTTAACCGTCAAACATGCAACATGGGAAGATCATGCAAACAGCATTATAATGGAACAATGCTGAGGCGGCACCTGAGGTGGTGAACTGATTCAACTGTGATTATGCAAAATTGTATTTACTTTCATTACTATTGTTTGTTATGGAGAGATATAATCGCTGCAGTTCAGTTCACAACCCCTCGGTCCTTCTCAGCTCTCCACATCAATACGTAAGCTCTGTAAACATGCCAAGCTAGAAGGTGAAAGTCCAAGTACCAGGTCCAGAGTTGCGTCCAGGGGTCGCTTCGGTGATTTGACAGCCGACTGAGTCTTAATTAGCAGGCAGCGAGCACATGATGGCAATGGGCCAATGGGGTTCAAGCGCAATAACATAAACCAGCAAGCGGAGAGGTGCACCATGGGACAGCAGTGCAGTGTGGGTTGGTGAGGAAAAAACAAACAAACATAAAAAACAATCAAATAAAAAAAGGAAATCATTGGAATGCAATATTCAACAACAACAAGACTTATGCATGCACATTTGTGTCTAACAGAGAGGGGGAGGTTACAGTATGGATATGATGATAAATAGCTAGAAGGCCTTGTTAGTGTTTAATGCAAAGGTGAAGATTTGCATTGGCTCATTTGATATAATAATGGCTTCAATTTAGCTTATTTTTATGATATAAGCGACTCATCTGTAAAGGTCAACCCATGTCCCTGATGCTCCAGCTCAGAATCAAGGAGTGTAATGTCATTGTGGAGTATAAGGGCTGAAGGATCTGCTTTTATGTGTATGACAAATCTATGCGTTAGAAGCCAATAGATGTATGATGACTAAATGCAGCTTGCACAAAGTCGTAAAGAAAGAGAAACACCACACACTAGGAATACAGCATGCGGCTCGGTGAGTGAACGTGCGGCAATACACTCACATTTAGAAAGTTAGGCCTAGTAACATAGTGTATGAGTGTGTTGAGGAAACTCTAAAACTATATTCTTGAACATGATTAAATACTGAAGATAGTATTTTGTTTATTTTGTAATTAAGCAGAGCAATTTGAAGATGTGAGAAATATCAACATTGTGAGTTTTCACAGAAAAATCACAACATTCATTATATTTGAGACTTCAGCATTTGAAATTTGAATTTCAATTTAAAATTGTAATGGTCCAAAGGGGAATAAAAAGTTTTTGTCCACAACGCCCAGCCCTATAATTAAGTGTGAAAGACAGCATTCTGAAAATTGGTGTCTGTTTATCAGGATCACCTATAGTTATTATTTACATACAAAGTACAATTGCCATCAATTTATGTTTTACGGTGCACATAAATAGCACAAAAGAGGCTTTTGCCTGAATAAGCCAAGATTACGTTTTTTCTGAAATGTTATGAGATAGAGGTCAACTAAAATCATTAACAAAAATAAATACAAGAAAAATATGTTAGACAAATGAAAGGAAACTTTTGTGGGAAGCCAGGGAGCTGTATAGAAACTGCCCTGGATTCACAACATCCTTGTATTGAAACTGTTTTTTTGGTTTGTTTTATTTCTGTATTTTTAACCTTTTCTTATTTATGTACTTTTCTGGTGAATCTGAAAAAATGAAGCTCAATTCTAATATCTTGGCACCTAAAGGGTAAACTTGAGTAAACTTAAGTGACGTAATGATACAGGCTTACATTGTAGTGGCCCCTTGTGTTGCATATACCCACCATGGCTGCAGCAGCGGCAGCCTGGTTGACTTGGTGCTGGGCAGCTTTGATCTTGGCCTGCAGGTGTGCCGGAGGGTGGAAGTACTTGCACTTCTCCCTGGAGCAGCGGCCCTTAATGTAGTCCATGCACACAGTGACGGTGTTGTCGTTGGTGTCGATCATGGTGCTGTCTGATGGGTGAGCGAAGCGGCAGTCACTCTCTCCCCGCGTACAGTTTCCCCGCTGGTATTCCCGACACACCTGAAGAGCACAGGGAAAAACAATACGATAAATCTTCAAACCTCACAAAGCTCTAAAATGCACAATATCCGGTCCCATCTGATGAAGTCTATCAATCACACATTAATGCCAAGCTGATCCATTAGAAGTGATTGATAAGCTGAACACAATGTAGCCGGGGTTTACATTCGCATCAATCACACAACATTTGCCCATTATTCAAATGTGCATGTTCTACCTGCTAGAGCCAGAAGGGGGCAGTGTATGTGCAAATAGAATATTGTTGCCTCAGACTGAGTGGAAAGGAGCAGTAAAACTCCTGGGAAATATGGCACTGGTTATTCTCTGGAGACGCTGGGGCAAACAAAATTGCTGTTACACAAACACACAAATAAATGATTGGACTATATTTTTTCTCTCCTTAATTAAATTTTGTCACTTTACGAGCAATACGTTTAAGTCGTTGTCGACAAATAGAGCTGAATATGAATTACATCTACTGCTACCTTGACTAAATTACATTTCTACGACGCTATGTATTGATCCATCCGTTACTTTGACTAGACAATCCATTTACCAAATGCCTGTTTACCAGTCTCCCTGTCTTCATGCATAAAGAATTTGATTTGCGGTGGAGCAAAAGGCCACCAGCACCGTTATCTCCAAACTAACCCAGCTCTGTCTCCAGACAAGACGGCTCATCATCCCCCATCAGCAGTCTGAATGATGGTGGGATCACTGTCAGTACATCTGACTTTTACAACATGTCGACATTTACATGTGAATGCTTGGGCTGCACGACAAGAAAAACATGATATATGTGTTCAATCACAAAAACAGCAACAGAGCAATAAGTCCCCTTAAAACGGACCATGTGTTTCTCAAAAGTGCTACATCAAGGTGCAGTTAGGATTAAAAGTGCATTTTGTATGTTTCCTGTTGGGGGTCCATCACATATTTGCCTCTAGAAAGTCTGCACTTAAGTAAATGATCTGATAGACTATACCAGCACAAGAGGTTTTACATGGGTTTGGGTCTGAGTCTTGTCTGCGTGTGTTTGTGTGTATGCTGTCTTGTTTTGTCTGTCTTATACCATCTATGGTAGTGTCATGTATTCAATTACTGTGTGTACTGTACAGTAGTGTTTTTTTTTATTCTACTGGATGATATTGGGCGACAGTAGCTCAGTTGGTAGTGCATTGGCCTTTGGGATGGAAGGTCGTGGGTTTAAGCCCACCATGGGACCTACTCCAACTGCTCCCACTAATGTCTGCTTTCGTTGTGTCCTTGGGAAAGACGCTCAACCCCACTTTGCCTGATGCTCCCGCTGAAACACCAAGGCTGTGGCACCACTGATGTAGCAGCCATCTTCCTGTGGACTCACCACCACTCACCACCAGTGAGGGACTGGTGCTATGAGCATTGGGTGGCAGCTCTCCTTGCCACCCCCCAACCCAGAAATGGACAAATAAAGGTGTAGAAAATGAATGAATGGATAATATTGTTAATGCATTGTATTGTGTGGCATGTATGATGGAGGCTTGGAATCAAATACGCATTGGTGTCATCCTTTTCTAATGTACTTGGTTCGAAATAAATAATCTAAATCTAAATCTCCATACACTAGTTTACAACAACTTTGAGTGTAGCCAGAAACTAGGCCTCTAATCTATGCCATCGTCACCTCCGATCACCACCGCCACCAAATATTCACTAAGCAATGTGGGTGAAGTGTCTTGCCTAAGGACACAAGGACAGTTTTGCACTTTACAGCTGACCCACTGTGGCACCTGGTGTCCCAGAGGTGTCCCATCACTAAACATGCCCTGTCCTGTTTAGCTTAAGGTCAGGCTTTTACATGCAGGTGGTTCCACATGTGTTCTTTTCGTCTATTCTATTCAGGTTCACCATTACTGTAGATTTGATTTCCGCAAAACAAGACCATCTCTGTTTGGGACCCTGAAACCAAAACATACATGCACTGGTAAACAATAGACAAGGCTTAATATTTCAGGACATGACCATTTTTCCTTTAATATCTGATTGCCCTTACATCCAATTTGATCAACAGAATATTTTGTGTTGTATTTGATTTTGTTTATGTCACATTTTATACATGCCATTGTAATATAAATGAATGGTAGATGTAGGAGAACAGTGGTTAGGGTAGATTGTCTTGTTTATGATAGTAAATGAGTCAATAGCCATGTTGTCAGGCAGATTTTGAGAGTGGTAGGACAAATATATATGAGCATGATGAATAAAGGACATGGGATCAGGCAGAGCGAGACCGCGGCTCACTCCGAAGCGGACACGTGGCGGTGGGCTGCTTCTGGCAGGTGCAGAGCCCAGTGGTTAATCATGCATTAGACTGACAGCTAAACAAGTGCTTAGTTTGGACAAACAGATTAACCTGATAATCATAGTTTCATTCCCATAGAAACTGTCCCTCAGGGCTCCATTCATTTCCATGGTTGCAGTGAGCTACATATTACTTTTTACAAGAAATAAGAAAAATGCAGCGGTAGGGATTTATCTCTAGCTTCACAAAAGAAAAAGTGCAAGGAAAATTTGTCTTCTGAAATAGAAGTTTTCTCAGCCTTTGGGAAAAAGGACAATTGTATATTTAGTAGCTGGTATTTCTGCTCCTCCACAGAATTTCCGCTATGTTTTTTCTTGAGTGGCAAACCATTTAAATATAGATTTGTTCCCAGTGGTTTCCAGAGACATTTAGCTCTATTTGATACAGTATTTGTCAAAGTTGTATTTGGCCAAATCTTATCTTCGGCATTCTCAAAATGTTTTTCTATCAATTAGAATGTAAATGTTATTATTGAAAATGTAACTTTTGACACATTTTTGTTTTTACATCACCATCTACCTTGTTAAAATCATCTATTTGTGTCCTTCCGCTGCCCTGGCTGAGATGGCCACATTAGACCACCAGATTGATTTTCTCTCTCTCCTGCCGACTCTTTTTCCTGTCATTGACCTGTTCCCTGACTCTGCATGTTGTTGCCCACTTGTTTATCGCCGCACAGACTTCCTTCAGTCTCACCTCCATACATTATCTTAGCACAGTCCAACTTTACTTGAAATAGCTACCTCGCTAACTCGCTCTAACCGCTCTCCCATTGCCTACTGATTTCCACTATATTTGCTGCAACAGTTTCCCGGGCGGGGCTGCATAATGGATGAGATCGACTTTCTGGCCAATTAATGATTTTCTGAACAAGGCTAGTGGACCGCAGCACTTGTCCTGTTTCACATGACTGATCGCTTTCATGGAAGATTTAAAGATTTTTCTGAGAATTACAAATTGATAGAGTATAACACAGAAGCTTGGCAAATAATGTCATCTCGCTCTTGTTGATGCAATGCAGCATTGACTACACAAGTGTTTGCATGAGATACTCTCATTACTGTCTGTTCCTCTTTGCTTAAGCCTCAGTAATGACTGTATTATGGTAATGAGAAGTAGTTACTGTAACAGAAAGTGTGTGGATACATAATTAAAGTCACACATACTGTTGAGACAAGGTTCTTCAACCCATGCCTTTAATATTCAAGTAGACATACCGCACTTTTCAAAGATTATCTCTTTGCACAGACACTGTTATTGCCTACTTTGGAATGTTGTTGATCTTGTCTCTAATCTGTGAGTGATATTAAAGTGACAAAATGTTACAGTCTGAGTAAAGAGTAGTGCATGTCTCACCTCTAGTCTGTCTGTCCTCATGAGCTTCTGAGCAGCAGCAGCAGCGGCAGCAGGGACAGGGACGTTGGGGCTGCTGGTGACCAGGACAGGAGCACTAGGCAGGATATCAGCAGGCATCAGGCCGGGCGATACTGGACCCAGGTACGGGTTAAACCCAGCGGCCGCAGCTGCTGCAGCGTTGGCATTGGTGGTAACTGAGAACATTGGCTGTTGGGAGAGGCAAGAAATGATGAGAAATAGGACACATGCTTTCACTTCAAAGTGTACAAGTTTTAAAATGTTGAAGTAAGAAAAATAAGTAAGTAAGTATAAGTAATGTTTATTTAAATAGCGCATTTTACAGACCAAAGTCACCCAAAGCGCTTTACAATGTTCAGAAGTATAATATGTGGCTTTAAAGAATAGTATTTTTTCTTCTGGGATACAGTTATAACCTAAAAACAAACGTGCACTAGACCAATGTGCCTGCAGGTGCAACAGGGTCTTACTCTGCTTGTCTACAAATTGATGAAATACTGTATAACCATCAAACTCCTGGAAAGGTGAAAGATTAAAACATTGATATGTTTGAAGATTCAGATGTATCAGGACCAGTTTGAACTCCAAAGTCACAAATAAATGTCAAAAATAGCGAAAAATAAACATGTTTTTTGTTGCATTTTTTTATTTATTTATTACATCTACCAACATTTATTTTCCAGTGACATTTGCCTTAGGTGCAAAAGGGGAACCCAAAATGCATACATTCTATGGTAAAAAAAAATGCAATACACCAGGCTTTGAATACACTCCTTTATCATGGAAAATGTAGGCAGACTTGGAAGTTTTATCTGTCACTGTGCATAGATCTTTGCCACTTATAATCTAAGCTATTTGTTTGTGCTCTCACACCAATTCAGTTTAAATTCCCATCCAAATATGGTGTTTCAGAGAAAAAAGGGTGGGTGTAGTATGCATAGTTTTATAATCATTAAATTAAATATTAAAGAACCAATTGCTGTCGTGATTTGCGCACCACGAAGGCTGAAAGCGACCATCAACCAGTGCAAAAAGGGGCACTGACGGCACAATAGCATTCAATGTATGAGGAAAAAGTGTTTGAATGACTTTTAAAGAAGCTTTGAGTGGGTGATTGTGGACAGTTTCTCCCACGAAAACGGTTTGTGTGTAGCAAAACATGTCAAATAGTCAGACCATAATTAGCTCTGTATCTGAAGTCTTCCACATCTTGTATTATCTTTCCCTATGATCTCTATACACTCAGCATGTGTGTACCTTCTCCACATGCGGTTCACTCAGAATCTCACGCTTCATACGCCGGAGATCATAGGAGAAACGAGCAACTGAGGAAATCAAGCTGCGTGTGTTGTGCAGGGGCTGAACCATGAACCGCACTGACACTATACACCAATAAACCACATCAAGAAGAAAAGAAAAAGCGATTCTCTTTCTAAAGGAGTGGGTTCGCTGATGTAGCACATAGGTTTTCCCTTACACGTTCCTGACCTAACCAATGGTCTTTTAGGGTTGTCACTCCTGCCTCGGTGCCATTGACGCAGTGAGAAATAGAGCTGCTGTAGCCAGGATAGGACGGATCAACTCTTCCCATGTTTTTCCCGATTGTTCAGTAGTCGCCAATGGAATTTCTGAAGACCTTAAGGAAAGATATGCTGTTGGGTCTCATGTATCGGTTTACAATGTTCAGAGCTGGAGGATGAGAAGGCAGGTACAGTATGAGGTCATTGCAGGGGCTGGGATAAAAGAGAAATGAAGTCATATGACATGAGATATTGTGGATCCACACAAAGAAATACGATATTTCACTATGTGTGGGTTGGTAGATAATTGGATTATTCAGAAAGAAATGTCTTATTTCAAAGACTAGAAAGGAGAAAAAATATGTGTTTTGGGGGGAGCCAGGAGTTGGCTTGGGCGTCTGTTTATGCCTTCTGGAGAGGCGTTCCAGGCATGTCCCACCGGGAAGAGGCCCCAGGGAGGACCTAGGATAAGCCGGAGGGACTAGTCTCTCAGTTGGGCTGGAGCTACAGAGCTATATAACGGTAAAACAAAAAGACAAACAAACACACACTGGCAGCATTTTTTGGATGTAACAAAGCATTAGATTTTTCAATTAAAAAAACATAAATTTATATCCATTTTAAAAACAATGAACAAAAAGGCCACATTGTCTATTTCACGCAGATGTTCCAATCAGAGTGCAGAATGAGTCTCCCATTTGGGTGAAATCCAGCTGCTTTGATCAGCACTACCTACACGCGCTCTGCATGGAGGTGAGACACGGTTAGTTTATCTGATTTTGCGGCAACATATTACATCAGCAAGAGCAAAAATATATCCTCTTAGTAAAACAAACTTAACGACATCGGTTTTGCATTACAATGATATAGCCTAGATACTTTATGCTCCGAAGATTGCATTTTTAAGAAGATGTCGAGTGACAGAAGTAAATAGAACTGAATCTTGTTTATATGATGCACATACAAAAATAAGAGGAATTGCATTATAATTAAATGGCTCACGCCTAAATGATTTGGACTAAAGATTTCTACAATAAAATATTCATGGTTTATTAATAATTGAGTTCAAAATTCCAACTTAGTTTGATAGGATGTCTAGGTCCCGAAATGCTGTAATTATGGTTTTGGGTATGTGGCTTGACACACATAGTTACTCATACAGACAGAACTATCAGCCCAAACATAGAAGTACAATGAGACAGTGATGGATGTCCTCAGCACGTCGCCTTGATGGTAATATTTCACCATTTGTTGTACCCTGCCTTTCTGAATGAAGTCTGCATAATAAACAAGTTTTCCGATTTATAATTAATGGTATTTCTCATTGCATGTGTTGAATCAAACAGATGCCATAACTCCGGCTTATTTTCTTCCTGGTCTGAGACAGCTGCAGTATACCAAGATTTGTCTTCTCTTTGCAAACTGTACAATAACTACACACACACGCACACACACACACAACAGAGAAACTGGTGGGAGAGCGGCAGATAAAAAGTAATGAATGAGAGCAGGAAACTAAGCTCGGACTCAAGGGAAGGATAGAGGAAGAGATCTCGGCTCAAACAGTTCCTGGAAGTGTCCAGTCCTAGTCTTAGCTTCTGTTCTGTGCGCTCTTCTGTTGTCTCGACTCGTCTTTGTAGTGATTCTGAAGCTCCTGTCTCCCACTCTTTTCCTTCCTGTCATTGCTCTGACCATTTATCTCCAGCCTTTTTCGGGTGCCTGCTTCTTTCTCGCTATTTGTCCTTCTCTGTCACCTGATTTTCTCTTACTGCTGCTGCATAAACAGAGTGCGAAGGCTTTGCTGGTCCCAAGGAAATGCAATGCTTCTCCCAAATCCTTTCATGGTTCTTTCTTCTCCATGGGCCTTTCCACTTAAGCCCTTTTGCAACAGAAAATAGTGATAAGCCATCAGCTAACTGGGTATGAGCTCGTGTGGGTGTCCAAGCGTGCAGCATTTTAAACTCTTTTGAATAGGCTCAGACAAATTCACTCTCGGGAAGTCACTTTAGCATAAAAGAGCAAAGGGGAAGACAGCAGAATCTCTTCAGGCCTGACTGACAGCTCTCATTGACTGTGAAAGGGCTCATGGTCGCCACAGGATGGTGCATTTGAATGGGCTGACTGGAGCTGAGGACATCACCTTGAAGATTTCGGAAGAACTGCACACTACCGTAGAACTGACTCGGAAAATGTGAGTAGCTCTTGAACAAAATCCAAATCTAGCTACATACATGATGAACTAAATCACCAGGCCTATTTCTCAAAACTAATGTTTATCCTTATAATGGGCACATATAGCCAAAAACCTTATGGATACAATCTATTCTATCATTTTAGGTTGTGTGATTGAATATTCCCTATCTTGACAAAGCCGTGTTTGCTCTATAGATTGCGTTTAAATGGCTCTAGGAAATCTTATTTAAAACAGGCAAGGAAAACTTTACATACCGCATTAGCATGAGAAGTATTCCAGCTAGGCTTTTAATGACATGGTGCATATGCTTTGCTAGTTGTAAAATGAAAAAGCACATAGTAGATCTGGGGTCATTTGTCTTCCTTCATTGGCATCACTCACTTTGATAACACCTAACTTTCAAAAGCATCTTGTTTAAATAAGATTTTGTGAACGCCCCAGACCAAAACCTGCTGTTATCCTTTGCATACTGAGAGCCTATTGGCTGAGTGAGGACTGGTACTCACACTGAAAAAGCTGATCTAAAGATGTGACAGAGGTAAAAAAAAATACACGCATGTGAGAACTAGTGATAGAACCACAATGTTTTACTAACTACTGTATATAGAAACTATAGTCACTGAGACATGGATTTAACTATATGGTCTATTTTGTGGTGGTGTAAGTATTCCAGGTTCAAGGTTCCACTCTTTCAGGCACATTCATGAACATAACCCTTCGATTTATAACTTTCCAAAAATAGCCTTGCCACAAGTAATCTATTCTGGAGAGTTGTATAAACCACAAACTTAAAAAGAGCAGGTTGAAAAATGACGCATGGTGAGTCAAACTAAAGATATGATTCAACTTAATTGAACTAGGCTTAAAAGCTTTTTCAGCCGTAATTCTGTGGCCCCATGGCCCTGGTGTGAGTGTGTGTGTGTGAGTGTGTGTGTGTGTGTGTGTGTGTGTGTGTGTGTGTGTGTGCGTGTGTTCCTGTGCACGTGCGTGTGCGTGCAAGTGCCTGTGTGTGTGCACAAGTGCTCTCACCACCGGCTGGAGCTGTGCGCCGGGCATCATTGCGTTGGCCAGCTGCATTTGCTGGGCCAGCATAGCCATGTTTTTCTGTTGGATGAGATTGTTTCTTCCATTTATTTCCAGCTGTGTCTTTAGATGGGGCGGAGGGTGCAGGTACTTGCAGTTCTCTCTGGAACACCGGCCCTGATGGAGAGACAGAAAATAGGCACAATAGGCTCAGGTGAATTGAGATATACAATACAGCAGGTATAAAATTCGATATGGGCTTTTAAACCAAGGCCTGTAGAGATGTAATGACCCTTGACTTGAGTTGATGCCTTTCACTTTGGCAGAGACTGACCTATAGCTACGACATGTGTGCCCCACTATGCAGTAAAGAAGACTGATCAGTCCCTCTGCCTAGTGGCAAACTAATCAATCAATATTTTTCAGGGCTCAACGTTAAGAACCTAATCTCCTGTTGAAAATCATTGCCAGAATTAATGTTATACTAAATTGGAGTACATTTATTTCAAAACTTGACCTCTAAGCTTTTCTCATCAGTCTACTTTCTACATCTTCCTTGATCACTTACAGCCCAGCGTTTTACAACCTCTACTAAATCACCATTGATCTCCTCCCAGCGGAGACAAATGCGAAACATGTCGATTTTTACACAATGCAGAAGGTTGTGCTGATGCCAAATCCATACATGATTGGCATCCTTTCGGAATATAAACATTATGACAGTTGGGCTCAATGTGTTTTGAGGGTGTCCACAGTGTGTGTGTGTGTCAGGTGCCATGGGTGATAATATTCATCCACGAGTCTGCAGCCCAAAGGGAGAAGGAGGGGAGGTAATTTACACTCTTATAATGCCTGCTCCACTGAACACTCCCCCAGATAGGTGTAATATCTCCTTCTTCATTTTTCCTTTCCTTTTGTCTCAATCCCTATACTGTACATCCCTAGCTCCATGCTGATATTTGCTCTGCTCAAGTAGAATACAAAGTAGTAGTGGCAGGAAGTGATCTCTCTAGCTTAACAAACTCGTGCGTGCAGTAGGCTACGCTTGCATGGATCAGATTTGTAAATGCTCTGCCCTCTCTTTTTTAACCAAAACACACACTCATCTTTTTGCATTTTCAATCAAATTGTTCTTTCCCATAGAGACAACTGAAGGCATACAAGCTCCCACTGGGATTTAAAGGTTGGCTGTCATGCGCTATGCTTTTCGCAGTGCGATTACCTACCAGCCTCTGTGCCCCATTATGACACCTGCTTTCACAGCCTAGCACATCCCCTCTTCCTCCCACCACGCACCCTCACTCTGTTATCATTTCATCTTTCCTGTTTATTTCCTAGAGCAGCCGCAGTTCTGCCTGGCTACAGCAGGGAAGCCACTTTTGCATTGGACAGAGCGGGAATGTCAAGAGTTCTGGCAGCATTTCGATTGGCTGAGAGCATCCTGCTGCTAAGAGAGCGAGACAGTGTTACCCCCAGCATGCTCAACGGCCTACCCACACACACCCGCACACACCACACACACACACACACACACACATTCGTTGTGCTGTTATAGTGTGCTCATCCCAGTGTTGTGTGCACTATTGATCAACACTAATTGGTTAATGTCTCTTGATTTTCAGGGCACATTCCCCCCTGACTGTCGCTAACATGTCGGCTTCAACTGTGTGTGTCTGATTAAATGTAGTAATAGCGATTCGTAGTCGTTAACACAACACGGACAGATTTAAATGTACATTTGCAGAATGGCTAGACTAGCTAATGGCGGTTTATTTACACACAACATGAGGCACAAGGGGCCACCTGTGCTCTTCCTAACACTCAGCGCACTCCTGAGGGAAATATCTCATGACAGTCAATGGCCCCTCGTTTTAGGCTACATGCCCTATCTTCTGTAGATTTTGGATCATTGTTGCACGTTCTAAGACAGATGACCACTGAACACATAAAAAGTGGAATACACACATCCGACGCTGTGACAGGTGTATAAGAGCAGGCAGAAACATTGCTCATCTGTAAAAATGAACTCTGGTGTATGTAAGTACAGTAAACCTGTCAGTGTAATGTACTGGCACAGTGTTTCAAAGTATGCAACATTCAATGAAGCAGAATACAAGGAGAAGACAACATGGTGTGGTCTGAATTGTCACTTTCTGTTTGGACAAATTAAGTGTGTTACTAATGCAATAAAAGTTTAATACCCAACTTCAAATTACATTTAATCTATTTGTAACATTTTTGGAATCCTTTATTTGAGAAGTCGTATGTGTGGTCAGAATGGCGCCTTTACTTTTCCTCACAGTGGTCTCTAGGATGCTATAGAATACATTTTTTGGAAGGTTTTCTTTGCAGTAGGACCCGCTCACCAGAAAACTTGGAGCTCTGTAGACCCAACTGTGATCAAAAGTAAAATGTAAATGCGCGCTTAATTTATCCCCAAAGGGAACTTTGTCCTCTGTCAGGAGCAGTGGTCGCTGTAATACAGCGCCAGGGGACCCTTCTCCAGATGTTGATACTCTGCGTTGGTCAGGAGAATTTGACCTGTTGTGCATGCTTTTAGTAATAGTGGAAACCTGAACACCCGGAGGAAACCTACGCAGACACAGGGAGGACATGCAAAGGACCTGTTCTGACTGGGATTCAAACCCAGCCACAATGCTGCCCAAAAGTGCCTTGCGCCCCACTCATTTAGCCGCTGGGTCACCAAATACATATGCCTCTTTATATATAGGATGATACTGACTCTGGTTGTCCAGAAAAATGTCAATACCAAGAAAATTTACAGGCAAAAGCAAAATAAATTTTAAAAAGTGATAATATTGTGGAGGGAGCTAAAGAACAACTTGTTTTTAGTGAGGGAACCATATTGTAACATATATTGCACATGGTAATGTGTTCTGTGAGTCATAGGATGACAAACTTTGGGAATAGTGTAGCTTCTTCATTTACATGAGACAAAACATCACACATAAGATGTTTATAAACCCCTTTTTACAACTAAAGCATACAATGAAGAGGTGGTCAAAGTGCAGTAACAGAAAGTTTCATTAAATTTGGTGTTAAATATAAAAAGTAGTGAATTAAAGTATGTCCGCGCGGCTGTAGATCTATTAAACGCCTTTATCTCTTGAAAGGCCAGCCTCCATCCTGCTGAGATATTAACCACTGCCACATCAGCAGCTGTGAACTGCTGTTTTGAGATCGCTCCATTCAACTCCATCTGAACCTGTCAATCCCTAAGAACAACTGAAACATAATACGTTTTATACAACAAACGGTTTTCAGATGAGGGATTTTAGATCCACAGCTCATACATTCCTTTACTATGTCTGTCCAGATGTGAACATTTATCTTGTGCTCCACAGTCCATTTTGAAGAGTACCTTGTTTGTTACGTTTGTAATATTGTTTGGATGTGTTTATAGATGAAAAGCGAGCGGTATCTAGAGAGTACACTGGTGTGTGTTTCTAAATCTACATTTAGAAAAGAATAGATATCATGTTTGGAGCTGAAAATGATCACAACCAATATTTCTGTTCCGCTCCTTCACACACAGTATTTGTCTATTCATCAAAACAGTGGTGTGCATTTGTGTATGAATTGTTTCATGAAATATTAATGTATGGTCTGAACGCAATGGCCAAGGAGTTTCTAAATAACACATACATAAAACAATACGATGGCATTCTGTACTGCTTATTTCTTTTCCTTTCTCACAATTTCAGAACATCGGATTTATTAAAGGATTGTGAGGAATGTATTTTAAACAGGATAAGCTGGAAAACTACAACTAATGGGTATGTATTAAACTAGTTGGTAATAAATAGAGCTGCAACTAACGATTATTTTGTAATCGATTAATCTATCGATTATTTTTACAATTAATAGAGTAATCGCTTGGCTGTGAATTGTGTAGAAAATTTATTTTTTTTCATCACAAAAAGCTAAAGTGGCAACACTTTAGCTTTTTTACGTATTGATGGCGTAAACTTAAAGTAAATGTTTGTAACAGGCTCTTTGTGCTAATTCTGCTCTGATTGGATGAGACAGACAGATATTCATGAAATTATAAAAACAAAGTCGGTTTTAATAAAAAAAACTACATTTTCATGTCATTTTTGCTCTGTTTGAGTCCGTGTGAACCAGAAAACGATTAATCAATTACTAAAATAGTTGTCGACTATTTCAATAATCGATTAGTCGTCGATTAATCGATTAGTTGTTTCAGCCCTAGTAATAAACTAGTTTTATCTCTCAAAACAGTCTTGTCTCTTTCTCACCACTCCTGCTCAACCAATCAGCTTTCAACTCAAAGCTTCACACAGGTTTCAAAGGGCTCTGTCTAAAAGCTATGTTTGCATAAGATCCAATCTTTTATAATGACATAAAGAGCATGTAGTGCTCTGATTTGTTCACACAATTTTACTTTTGCAAGCCTCTTTCTGTTATGTATTATTATTCATTCAATCATTTCTTATTGGGTTTTGGATTCCTCAGTCTGTTCCTGTTCCTTTTATTTTGAAAATAAATAAATAATACATTCCTCTAACAGCCACTACCTTGGTTGTGAAGTTGCTTTTTGGCTTGTTACTGGGTGTGAATTCCACACACAAACTCACACCCCCGACAAAACAAAAGAGAGAGAAATGTAGACGGTAAATGTGAGCAAGCCAGACAGATGTGGAATGTGCTTTTGATATTAATATTAATCAAAGCGATATGTGCATGAGATTTGAGCAGTGTCTTTGCTTGCAGATATTGTCATCCTCTGAGGCTGGGAGTGGAGCCTGGGCCGTACGTGTTCTGTTAATCACACATTGATTTGAAATGATCTTTTAATCTCACAGTCCACAATCATAGGTTTCAGCTTAACCTCGTGTAATTTCTTTCTTTCCGTTCCTGAGTGCCACGGATTCTTTAGTTTAGCAACTGTCGTGCTTTGGTCCGGACACTGCAAACCTTTGTGCATTGCTAATTCACCTTCAATGATACGACTCTCCCTCGCGACATGCATCAATCAAGAAAGCCCCGTCTACACCACGGCCGTGAGGAGAATGAACAAGTGATGTTTCTGCAGAATCCAAAAATACTCATTCTTAGACACTATGTTGTTCCATGTATGTTGTCAAAGCAGCGCTTGATATCAAAGTTTCATATGTTTCTTCAATCTTTCATCT